GTTCCGTTAAAATGCAATGAAATTTCTTTCGAAAGGTTCTATTTGTTTGAAATTGGCAGTTTAAAATGGCACTAAAAACCCAATTTTAAATATAAAAAACTTAACTGTCTTGAAATATTTTGTCGGGCGGTTCATTTATATTGTATAACAAAATATAAAAAAATTTCACGCGGCTCTTGAAATACAGTCGGGCGGTGATGAGAATCAAGGAATTTATTTTATGTGGCCTTATAGCCGTACGGGCGAGTGGGGGGGAGGCAGTCCCGCCCCCCAGTCAAAATAAAGTCATGCAAATTATAAACGTATAAATTCGAGCAAAAATTGGGGGAAATAAATTTTAAAAGAAGACAGTACATGCAATATGGTATTTGAAAATACCAGACTCGAATATGTAAACGGTAACGAGGAATCGACAAATAGGAAAATATTTTTGTCTACTTCCCAACGACAATTTTGGAAATTTAGTTGCACGGAAAATTTTATTCAGTGGGTAAAAGTCGGGTAAATTTTCTTTCTGGCTCCCTGATTTTTTCCCGCCCGTACGCCTATGACGGCTGAACTAATTTAATTTCCTGTGCCCGGAACATAAAGCAAACAATATTTGCGAAACATACTATTAGTATGCTCAAATTCTCGAAATTAAGGTAAACAAGAGGCATATACAATCAAAGGAATAATCCAGTATAAAATAAAACAAAAACTTTCGCCAAAATTTAGCCACAACATTCAATAATAATAACTATTATCTAATAACTAGTTTTATCGCTTCCTTATATATTACTGTCCATCCTTCCCGCTTTCACATGACCTATTTCCGCGAAAAATTACTCATATGTGAAGCTACATATAAATACTAGGACTTTACAATCACGTGCGGAATTATTACCACCGGATAGAGTCACACATACGACAAAAGAATTCTATTTTTACTGGCTCGTATTTATGAATTCACAATTGTATGAATCGTTACATTGTGATCAACGTGGATTTCTTAATATGCTCTCGTTTGATGTAAACGTACGTTAATGAATAAGTGACATTTTAGTTACAAGCCTGGAGATGGCTGTCAAAATTCAGCTGAGTTGATGTGTCAGTTAGAATGAAATGACATGTGAAAACATTTAGCAAGATTGAGGCATCAAATACGATATTATTTTCTAATCCAATCTTTTTTGTTCACGATATCATTATTGACTGTTGTAGCAATATTTATTGGAAAGTTTGTATTTCAGCCGTTGGTACTTGTTACGGAATGGCTATGTAAAGCTATATATAGATTGTGTTAAACGTGGTTAAAAAATAAAAATATTTTGACTTTGTTTCTGATGACATTTGCCGACTCTCGACTTTTTACTCTCGATCGACTCTCGACTTTTTACTCTCGACTCTCGACTTTTTACTCTCGACTCTCGACTTTTTACTCTCGACTCTCGACTTTTACTCTCGACTCTCGACTTTACTCTCGACTCTCGAATTTTACTCTCGACTCTCGACCTATACTCTCGACTTTTAGATACACTCCCGAAACACGCACAGTGACCCACGCCCGCGATATTTGATGAACTTTAGACTTCGCTAATGCTTCCCTTCCCCGGGTGTAAATAGCCGGGGGGAATTAGTACCCTCGCACGGCGCTTCGCGCCGTCGGCTCGGGGATTATTATTGAAATGGCATTGTTTACAGAAAAATACGAGTTCGTACATTACCATTACTCTTTAGAGTGCAATATTTAACTTTTAATATAGTTTGTCTTGTTCCGTGATATGCTCTTTTATATAAATACTAGAAAATACATGCATGCAGAAACCGTCGCCTTACTTACAAAAATTATGTATTCTGAATATGAAGAATTGAAAGTAGTTGGTAACACGATAATTTTAAGAATACTTTTATAATTGAAAAATCCCCCCCCCCCCAATATCACTTTTAATAACAAAAATATCAATTTCCCAAACATATATATGCCAGGTATGTTATTATACGTAATATAATCTTCAATTTAATGTAAAATTCAACCACAAACGCTTCGCAAAACGTTTTAAAATGTTCTTAAAACTAAACGGCCTTTTAACGAATTATCGGTAAACATTGAGTTTGAAATAAACTGATTTCAAATTCTCGCATGAAAATAACTTTGCTTTCCTCCTTATTTAAATATTTTAATATACAAAAGAAAGGGTAATTAATAAAACTACACTGAAATCATATATGCTGTCTTTTTTCACTTATATACGCAATGATAGCATCAGTTCGATATTCGCAGTATCGCCCACCACTATCAGTTATAAATATATCAAGTATAAAACAAACAATACAGTACATCGATATTTAAAACAAACTTACCTTCATTATATATAACGTCGGCGACTTTGCTCTATTCTTTTAGACGTTTTTAGACTTCCTTAGCTCTCAGAAAGGTTTCGAAATTTGCAAAATCTTGCAAAAATACAACTTGCAAGAAATGTTTGTTATTTTGCTGTCGTCAATGCAGTCGTTAGAATGCAAATTTCAAATTTGGCCAATCAGTGCTTACTATTCACGACAGTCCGCTACATATTTTGAGATCAGTGAGGATGACCACCCATGAACGGTGAGCCATGCGCCCACGATATTTGATGAATTTTAGACTTCGCTAGTGCGTTCCTTTCCCCAGGTGTAAATAGCCGGGTGGAATTAGTACCCTCGCACGGCGCTTCGCGCCGTCGGCTCGGGGATTATAACACACCATCACATCTACCATACAGTACCACATTTAATCATACGCGACCCCATCCTACCTTCCGTACCGTACCACATTTAACCATACACCACACGATCCCATCGCATACCAGATTATATCATAACACACCTTACAATGCCACACAACGCAACATCATAGCATGCCATACCATAATATGTCAAGGGGTCATTGAAGATTCGTACAAAAAAACACAAAGAAAATATCATTGTTTCGTTGCCTGGATACCAGGGTAGTAGTAATCGTCCATCAATTAACTTTGATTTTGCTTTAAATCGTTGATTAAACAAACTCTTCAATTATAATGATATATTAAAAACTTTGCTTGCAAACGTTTTTGAAAAGGGGTAATAAACTTGTAACTTAACTGAAATTTAATTGATGTCATCAGTTTACCTGTGTCCAAGAATTGGCTATTCATAAATTTTGCTTACCTTGGGTGACCTATATTGTGAAAAAATATAATGTGAGCTGTCGCTCGCGGTAAGGCTAACCCGAATGTGATATTTGGTTTTGTGAAATGTAATATATCTCAAAGTACGTAAAAAATTTCATCTCGAAAATGTGAAATGTTGATAGATTTAATTTTTCTTCGCTTTTTCCCGAACATTTACCCGACTATCCTGGTATGTTTGACGACAAAACAATTGATCGAGATGAGATTTTACTGCTAATAATATATGCATGAAAAATTACTCGATTCTGATTGATTAAGAGGGGTGCAATTTTATCGAACCACAATGCCAAAAAAGAAATACGTGGCTTGCGCTACCTCCTCCGCAGGCCTTTCAAAAAAATAAAACAGCTACGCATTCAAGCTTTCGTCTCAAATTTCAAATTTCAACCTGCGAACGGGCATACTCATTTCGGGCTGTATGGTCTGCGGAGGAGGTAGTGGCTTGCGCCAAAACAAAAGACATTGACATTTTGACTTATGAAAGTTTAAAAACTGTATTAATTAAGTTGTTGTGCCATTCAGACGAGTGAGTAAATTAGTTACTTCGCATGTGTTTCATGCATGCAGGTGTCCACGAATTTGCTTCTGAAAAATTTTTTTAATGCTTTCTCGTGCAATTTAAAAACGAAACACTCATGAGTTTTTCAAAGACTTCGTTTCCATACGTTCAGTCTGTAAACTTTTTGTTTCGTAATTGCATTCGAAACGAATTAGTATTTGAAGACCAAAATATATAGCATGAACTAAAATTTATTATTTGGGGTTTGACAATCAGACAATGGCATTTGGTTATGATGATATGAAGTAAATTCTAAGTAAATTATTCATGTAGTGCTAATATTTGCACTGATGAATTGAATTTGGCTAGCTGGGCTGATTGAACCCAGCTTTGCCAAACTGATACACGCGGTCTTTTCCATAACAAAAAAAACACATTTTAGGTGGCTCGATATACTTATCCGCACAAAATCTGTAATACAAGAATCACCAAAACAAATCCTTACGCTAACTCGTGTGACCATTCGTGTCCGCGGAAATATTAACGAAAGAACTAGTCTTATACATATATGACCGGCATGACGTGCATGGCCACTTGCTCATGTCACATCGCGCCATTGACATTGTACGTTTTTATAACGGCTTGCATATAAAAAACAGTGAGCTAAATCTCATTATGTTGTTCAATGACCTTAAATATTTTTATTATACCAATACATTTTTATCGAAAAAAATGGCATTTCTGTGTTTTAAACGACCAAGCATTACAGTATTTTTTATGCTTCACAATACTATCATGTATGAAAATTAGAATTACTGGGCCACCGTGAACTTGAGTATAAATAAATTGGAACTTCTGTATTTCAATCTACAATAATGCCAAATCTTATTAAATTGGAAAAACAATAATGTTCAAAGACCAAATGGATTGAATTTAATGAAAGTGCACGAGAGTCAAGGAGAGCTACTGGTCAAACAGGAGCGAGTCTTGCAACTCGAATTTTACGTCCTAAAGAGACTATTATGCAAAAAATAAAAATAAAACTAACATTGCTAAAAGCCTGAGCTTAAAATCATCTTGCACCACAACCATCACTGAATTTATTAAGCAAGAGTAGTTTCAGCCGTAGTTACGATTCCGAGTTGTTTTAGGGATATGCTTCATTCAATGCTATATTTCGTATCTTTCATTTGTATATTTTTTGTGTTTAGGGAATTGTAACCTACAGCTGTCATTCCGTCTCACAACTCTCATTCTCGTTTGGCTTGGGGCGTTACTTATGCATTTGTTATAATTTTTATTCTTACCAATATATCCTCGTAGTAAACCCAAGGCCCATTCTTCATTGTTGTGATGTTTATTTTCACAGAGCTGTTACTCAACTGGCAGTTTACAGTGTAGATAGTACTTGGTCTTACTCTGAAGTTATAACCAAAGCAATTGTCTTGTTCTATGCAGAGAATGAAGCATTCTCCCAAACGATGAATATTGTGACTTGATATCAGGTTAGATGGACGTAGTACTTGGTTACCTGTGAAAAAATACAAATTGCCTTAAAATTACGATTCAAAGCATACGCCTCTAGAGAGTACAGCATAGAACTGATTGGGCTATCTATATTACCTATAGCTGGTCTATCTATATCTGCAAAATTAAAACTGGTGAATTTAAGACTGACAGAAATTAAATTAATACAACGCAAAATTAAATAGAAAAAAGTACTGAAAGAACGAGACAATTAGATTTCATATGTATTTTAATAAATAATATTTAAAAATTTGTGTTCTACTCAGAGCTGGAAGGAAACGTTTAACAACGGAACATGCGGGAGTAACCATACCTATAGCCATAAGTACATCAATAGTCATAACCATACCGTAACCATACCATATTACATTATCGCTCAGGGTTAGTCTCTATTGTTACAAGTATTGGACTAACAACCAAGACACAAGCAGAGAAAGCTAAAACTCTTTACCGCGTACTTTTGCTCTGTTTTTCTTCACCAAGCGAGTGCCCAGTTTGTCCTCTTCCCCCAAAAGATCAGATATAGAAATCTCTGGTATAGAGCTAACAGTGGAAAAAGTGTGAGCTTGTTTGTCTAGTTTAGACACATCAAAAGCTACCGGTCCTGATGGGATACCCGCAGGCATTCTAAAGGAATGTAGCACGGAAATCGCACCAAGTCTTTGTGCATTGTTACAAATCACTCTCTACACATTGGGCGTTTCCCTACAGAATGGAAAAATGCCGACGTAACACCGGTCCATAAGAAAGATAAGAAAGAACCTGCTGAAAATTACAGACCCATTTCTTTATTGATAGTGAGCAAGGTGATGGAACGGTGCGTCAGTAACAGGTTCTATGCCCATGTCTCACATCTAATTACTTCACTTCAGCACGGTTTTATGCGTGATAGATCATGTGTAACACAGCTTCAGTTTGTTCTCTACTCCATTGGAAAATCACTTGACCAAAACATTCAAACAGACATTTTATACTTGGATATTGCTAAGGCTTTTGACTGTGCAGACAATGTTATTCTCATTGAAAAGCTTAAATAGTATGGCGTACTGGTTTACAGACTATCTTGGCAGTAGATCGCAGAGAGTTTTGATAGACGGTGTAGCTTCTCGGTACCAACCCATTACTTCTGGTGTTCCCCAGGGAAGCTTTGTAGGACCTCTGCTGTTTGTTATTTTTACTAATGACCTACCTGATATTATATCCAGGAACAGACAAGAATCGGCCTCTTCGCAGATGATACCAAGTTGTACCGATCAGTGAAATCTCTTAGCCACTGTGAAAGTTTGCAGCATGATATTTCTAACTTGAACACTTGGAGTCATAGCTTTAACATGAAATTTAACGCTTTCAAGAGTAAGGTATTAACAATAACACGAAAGAAATTACCTGTATTACTGACTATCGTCTGGGTAATGTAACTTTACAACGTGCTCATCAAAAAAAAGATCCGGGAATTATTGTCAAAAACAACTTATCCTGGGATTCCCACATTTTCTCAATCGTCAGGAAAGCCAACATGATGCGTGCTATCTTAAAGAGAACTTGTCCTCTAATTAGAGACACTAAAGGTAGTTGAAAACTATATCTGACTTCGGTAAAATCAAAGTTATGCTACGCAACGGAGTATAATGATTTGGATTCTTGCACTTCACTTGGTGTATTTAATATTAGGGTTTGTAATCCAAGTGAGTATATATACATTTTAAGACCTAACCAGGAACGACTGCGAAATATGCAGCACAAGGTCCTCTGGTAGGAATTGAACCTACGGCCCTGCGATTCCGGTGCAGCGCTCTAACCAACTGAGCTACAGAAGCCAGCTGTTGAGCTGTAACCGTAAGTTCATGCATGTATATATAGGTAATCGGGTGTGCGACTTGGTGGAATTAATATGAGAATGTTAGGGTTTGTAATCCAAGTGAGTATATTGCTGCAGCTAATGTGAAGCTATAAGTTGCATTAGAAAGAGTTCAAAGGCGCGCTACACGTTGGATTTTAAAAAGTAAAGTTGGAGAAATGTCTTGTGAAGATAGACTGAAAACTCTCAATTTATTTCCACTAACTAACGATCGAGAAATCAGAGATCTGGTGTATAAATGTATTTTCTGCCACACTGATTTGAACATTTTGTATCATTTATACATCATAATCGAACTCGTACTCAGAATCCATCTCTATAATATTAAAATCTCTTTACTGCAGAACATCCACTTTCCAAGGATCGTTCCTTAACCGAATTGTTAAGACTTGGAATAATGTTGGAAATATAGCATCTTCTGAAAAGTTCTCCGGCTTATTAACTGTTTTTAAAAGCTTTCTGCATGTGACATTAATGTTGACATGGCATATGCACTTGGTCGCTCACAAGGCACTGCCCCTGCCACAGTTCTTAATCTGCATGTTATGTAATATATATTTGTAGAGTAAATTAGGTTGGTTATATATATATATATATATATATATATATATATATATATATATATATATATATATATATATATATATATATATATATATATATATGAGGCCCATAAGGCCGAAACGGTACCGTCTGTAGTTAGATATCGCTCTATGGCCTTTGGGTCATATTGAGCGCTCTACAGGATGAGCCTTGCCGCTTACGCATTG